CGACATCCTTGTTGATGTGTCACGTGCAGAGTAAGTGGGCAGATTGGGGAAAATGTCTCCTAATAGGAGTCAATAAGCCCAACTCTCTGTCACTGACAACCGCATTCGGATGCACCTGAGCAGCGTCAAATATTAGTGAGACACGCAAAAAAAAACTCAAATTTTTTTTACCATATATCACAAAGTACGTTTAAAAACTAATTAAATTAATCATGTACTTCATATAAATTCTTACCGTATAGCCTATGAGAAGTCTCAACTTGTCGAGAACCCAATCATAACTGGCCTCTTTCTCGTCCTTCATGAGGGCATAGGCAATTAAAAAGTTATTGTTGCACGGCGTCATGCCAATCATCTCGAGCAACGGCATCTTGTACCTGTGAAAATGAGACCAAAAGAAATAATTTATAATCACATTAAATCTAATCCAAAATACAAATTTAGATTAATACTAATAACATATCTATAAATTTAAAATACCTGTTGGTTTTGTACGTCGAATCTATGCCGACAAACCAATAATAAGTCCGGAATAGACTCACTGAATCAGGATGGGCCATGAATATGTGTGTCAGCGCATTTGTATTCGGATCGACATTTGTATAAACTATGTAGTTGCTGCTGTTTGCCAAATGTAGAAGTTGGGTAGGAATGTCCCTACCCTTAAAACTTTCCTTACGCAACCAGTCTCTATAGTTATATACATGTCGTCGATTAGCATGGTCGTGTGGATTTTTTTCATGGACGGCGGCCAAAATATTTGCTGGTGTCACATGCGCAGCAGTCATTTCACGAATAATTTTTTTGGATGACACGCTTATGCCGCTCGACTGTCGATGGCCCTCAGGATACACGGCAAATGAATGATTATGGTATCCCTTTGTTTCGTCTTGACTCGTGTGGATCATCCAGTATGTCGATCTGGCAACACGCTTTACTTGTATCTCAAAAGAACACTGACACGCTTTCGTTTTTGAACGTCTCGAAACAGCTTTATTCATATCTACGTTTTTACCTCTATAACGTTCGCCTCGATCGCACTTCAAGATCTTCAGCCTTCCGGGTTTTTTGTGTTTCGAAATAGTCAAAAAGAAACCATTCAGAATTGCCGTACTTTTTGCATCCTTAATAGCCTCCACGTCACTAATAAACAGCGTAGTTGTATTGAAAGCGGAACGGTAATCAACACCATCTCCTCCAAAATCTTCTAAAGATACCTGCAATGTATTACATATTTAATAATTTTAAAGCATACTTATAATATAAATAATTAATTAAAACATGCAACATACTAATTTTTAATTAACATCAACTTTATAGATAATTAAGTATAATTAATTTGTAACTCCTGACACGATAATATCTAACGTTCAACTTATATATAATCAAGTATAATTAATTTCTAACTCCTAACACGATAATATCTAACGTCCAATTTATAACATATTAATTTCAAGTCTATAAAATAATAATTTCTAATTCCTAACACAATAACATATAACGTCAAATTTATAAGATGATCAAGTTTAATATATATAACAAATTTATTTCTAACAGCTAACACAATAATATTTAACATTCAATTTATACATAATAATATCAAATCTATAATATAATAATTTCTAGTTCTAACACGATAATACTATGTTACGTTCAATTTATAACAAAAATTATTTAAAATCTATAACAAAATAATTTTTAATAATTTTATTTATTAAAAAAAATATATATATATGTCCGGTCGGTCGGACCGCACGGACCGGGTTCCGTGCGGTCGTCGCGACGGGACATCAAGCCGGCCGTACGGCCGGTCTGTTAGTACAAAGACCGGTTCGTACGGCCCAAAAAGCCGTGCGGGGACGGTCACGTCCGACCGAACCGGCCGTACGCCTTACGGGCCGTCCGGTTTTTTCGGCTGGACACGACCGGTCCCGTGAGGCTTTCCCGTCCGGACAGAAAAAAAAATTACCTCTGAGCTGCTTGACATGGTGCAAATGAGAAGG